TTGCTGAGAGTACTGCTCTTTTATGTTTGGAAAATTTCACAATCGGGATAATACAATTGTTCGGTGATGAGTATCTACGGAGACCGACTGCTGATGATCTTCAACGATTACTCGATGTTGGAGAGGCACGCGGGTTTCCAGGGATGATAGGCAGCATCGACTGTATGCATTGGGAATGGAAAAACTGTCCAACGGCTTGGAGAGGCCAGTACTCACGTGGTTCAGGAAAGCCGACGATTGTTTTAGAGGCAGTGGCTTCCCATGACCTATGGTTATGGCACGCATTCTTCGGAGCTCCAGGTACCCTCAACGATATTAATGTTCTTGATAGGTCACCAGTTTTTGATGATATTTTACATGGCCGAGCTCCTAAAGTTAAGTTCAAGGTCAATGGCCACAATTATCGTATGGCGTACTACCTTACAGACGGAATCTATCCGAAATGGGCAACATTTATCCAATCCATCCCACTTCCTCAAGGTGATAAAGCCGAGCTATTTGCTCAGCGTCAAGAAGCCGTCAGAAAAGATGTCGAACGTGCTTTTGGAGTACTGCAAGCTAGGTTTGCAATTGTTAAAAACCCGGCCCTACTATGGAACAAAGAAAAGATAGGAAGGATAATGAGAACTTGTGTCATACTGCACAATATGATAGTAGAGAACGAACGAGACAGCTACACGCAATATGATACATCTGACTTCGTAGCAGGAGAGTCAAGCAGAAGTTCCCAGGTTGATTTATCGTACTCTACCGAGACCCCTACGAATATCAGTGATATGCTTGCCATTCGCAATCAGATGCGGGATCAACAAACACATGCTCGTCTCCAAGCTGATTTAGTTGAAAACATTTGGCAAAAGTTTGGTAATCAGGAAGAATAATATTCGTACGTTTATAAAGATGCAATGTATTGAATAAAAACTTTTTTAGAAATTAATGTAAGTTTGTGATTTCTCAATGTATTGAATAAAAACTTTTTTATATAACCTATATATGTTTAAGAATTCTCAATTTTTTTAAAAGAAAAAAAAATATTACTAAGCTTTTTAGAATGTATTGAATAAAAACTTTTTTTACTAAACTATATATGTTTAAGAATTCTCAATTTTTAAAAATACGTTTTTAAAAAAAAAA